AATAATGATGATAATAATAATAATAATAATAATAATAATAATAATAATATTGTTTTTATAATTATTACTAAAAAATAAATTTTAATTAATTTAATATTTATCGAGAGCATCTGTCGTTTTTTTTTTATTGAATTAAACCAAGCAGATACAAAACAACCTTATAATAAAGCACGTTGATGGAATTAGAAGACGGGCCGTGTGAATAGAGTAGGTGAGGACGGAAGTGGGAAATAGGCAAAACAAAACAAGACATTCGACATAAAGAGTGCGTCAAATAGGTGGTTAGCCCTCTAAACTTATTCATTCATCGGTTAGCCTGTTTGGACAACTTTACAAATTACAGTACACAGGAGAAGGAAAACAGTCACGTCGGTTGTATGGCTTCAGAGGCCGCACTGAACAAATGTGAAATCAGGAAAATATGTAAAAAGTGATTTAATTAAATATTCTCCATCAAAAAAGGTTTTTCCTTTAGACTGATGATATTCACAAACTTCAAACCTTAAAGTTCTATCATAAATTAAAAAATAATCAGTTACCAATTTATTTTAGAAGTATGACACCTGTGCCTTTTTCTGAAATACATATCGAGGTAGAGATATTCAAATACCGATAAGTTAATCATGTTTTTGCAACACGGTCTATTAGATATATGATGTCTCAAGACTCATTGAAACTACTCCAAATTGTATTATTTCTAAGGTTGCAAATCATAGCCTTTTCTGGTTTTGCTAATTATATTATAATATTATTCATTGGTGAATACAATGAATATTGTTATATTGCTAACTGTTATGTATGTAATGATAATTAGTAATGGTGTGATAATTGGAGTCATAGGCCTATTGTATTTTATTATTTTTTAATGATTTCTGTTTTACTGGACATGCATATTATAATCTATAATGAAATTTAAAATTGTATGAGTGATCAGTATATTCATTTATCTGTGCGGTGGCTCTCATGGTAGCGGCTTATTTTAGCCTTAAAGTCTCCCAACCATTAATTCGTCATAATTTGATTATTTAGAATATTTGTTATAATTTTTGGTCTAATACAACAATCTGAGTTCTGAGTTCTGACAAGAAACAACTACTGTCAAATTACGTTTAATTAATTAGCTCTATATATGCCCGAACAACAAGGACTTACCACGGGGGGGGGGGGGTGGAGCCAGGTTTTGCACGAAGGGGAGAGGAACGATGTCTCCGACAAAAGTGGGCGTGGTCAAGCTTCGCTCAAAATCTCTCAAAAATGTTCTAGGGGGCGAAGCCCCCGAAAATTATTATTACAATTTAGGGGCATCAAAGGCTTATTTCGATTTTAGAATCTATAATAGGCAAAGAAAGCACGTGCAGTAGGCCTACATTACATTTTGGTTTCTCGCTTACGAATTGTGGTTTTTCTCCCCGACGGGGTGGGGGAGCTTCTCCGCTGGCGCCACCCCGGCTGACTTACCATGAACTAGATTACAATCACTGTTTCTGATTTCTGTGTAGGAATGTTGTGAAGGGGTGATGCGGATCCAGAATTTTTCAAACAGAGGGGCATAACTGGTTCAGAATAGCATTGAAGCCTAACAATGATTTGCAATGAATTTTATAAAATTTAGTGGCTAAACGAGGGGGGGGGGCACGTTTTATTTAAAAATAAAATAATAACACGATATAATTCAGTTTTGCTGATTTGCATAAATGCACTACAAAAAGCCTGTCAGTCAACATTAAAGAAAAGAGAGGTAATTTCTTTTACGTCTGTTCAATTGTAACTTTAAAGCTTATACGAAACTCTAGAGGGCTCTCGTCATGTTTCAAAGGATGAAGACTCGGTCTCTGCAGGTTTCCCACGGGTGCGGGCGCCGGTACCATCATCTGAAATGGGGAGGGCACTAAACAGCGTCAGTTCTGACAATTTCAGTCGTTCCACTCTGACAGTGGAACCGTTCTTTAGGTAAAATAATTATATTTTTCTATGTACAGTATAATCAAATTTAATTATTATGTATTTAAAAATAGCATAAATTCATTTAAATATTATAAAAATATAAACAAAATATTTCTTTCTTTTATTTATAATTGTTAGATTCATATATATTTCATGGACCATTTGTAGAACATAATTGTTATGAAAATGTTATTCAAGTAAAATATGTTTGTAAATAGAGAAAATAAATAAATAAATATTATTATTTCTCCTCCACATCCAACAGCAGTGGCGTATCTCGAACTCTTGAAATTGGGGTGCTGATAGGGGTCCGAAGGTGAGAGGGGGGTTGGGGCTCGATGATCAGTTGAGGGGCGCTAACTCTCAAAATAAGTAGATTTTGGGTGATTTTTAACTACTTGCTG